AAAACAGAAAAAAAAAAAAATAAGAAGACTTTACTAAATTAATGGACTATTGGTGCACTAGTTTTGAAAAATGAAAAAATTTTGCAAAATAATTTTTGTTAAGTTTTACTAAAAGAATAATAATTATTTTTAATTTAGCATTGACCTAACGGTCAAAGGGCATAAGTGAAGCAAAAAAGTGGATGGAGAGGTATTTTTAGCCCAATAGGTGGATGAAGGGTATTTTTAAACCTTTTCCAATAGTTTAGGGGCATTTTGAACCCTTTTCCGTAAAAACAAATACACTTAATTGCTGAGATCTGAATGATTAAGATTCAAGACCTCCGTTAAGTGCAAACAAATGAGGCCTTAGTCCCTAATTGTATTGTTGATATCATTGATCAAGTCTTGCATCCATGAATTTGCTTTGAAAAACTTTCTTTCCTTCCACCTTGAGCTATTCGGTAAAGCATGAAATATTCGCACTTTGTTCCAAATTGGTACACAAACAAGCAAATGAATTGCACTACAGAAAATTCATGAAGTAAATGAATGACATTGATAAAGGTAAAATGCACCACAGAAAGATCACGATAACAAAACTTACTAAACATCCCAACAAAATTTAGCATGTTACTAACTTTACTACCAAATTGTTGTAGCTGAATACTCAAAAATTGAACAGGACACAATGACAAGATAAAAAGTAACAAGCAAATTGTCTTAAGCCTTGTCAGCCTTAGAAGCAGTGGCAGCAGCTTGACCACGGAGACGACCAGTCCTCCTTGCAGCAATAAGACCGACCTTTTGCCCAGGAGGTGCATCACGACGGACTGTGCTGGCATGACCAATATGTTGATGGTTACCACCACCATGAGGATGCTCCACAGGATTCATAGCAACACCACGGACCTTAGGCCAGCAGTTCCTCTTCACCCGATACTTGTGGTAAGCATTACCAGCTTTGAGCATTGGTTTCTCAGTACGTCCTCCTCCAGCAACTTGACCAATCATGGCACGACATCCACTTGGCACAATCTTTTTGGCTCCTGATGGAAGCTTAACCCTGATCAAAAAATCAAATTTGATGAAACAAAATTCAGTAAGCATCTGAACAAACTTGCAAACGACAGAATGGCCATAATATCACCACAACATGTATCTGTTTAGAGTACCGAATAAAAACATGGGACAAAGCCTGAAAATGTAAACTTATCACAGGAAAAAAATCACAAGAAGAGCTAAATTGAATGTTTTTAAACCAACTTATCACAGGAAAAAAGTGCTAACATAACATGTGGAAATCCAAGTAATTTGGTCAACATGTAATAAGGTAAGTTTACCACACCATAAAACATGTTACCACCAACAATCTTCTCCGGATAGAGCACACACATACAAAATCAGGTTACAAAAAACACTTCTCACTCTTTCTTCACCACTACAGCAATGAACCTCAGTAACAAACATACTTGCACAAGGCCAAATATCACAAATCAGTGCATAATTTAGCAAAAAGATGCCCTTTTTCACATAGAGCTTCATCGCAAAGACAATATAATGACACAATTAACCTCCTTCCTCAACTCCAACAGCTCATACTTCACATTAAAGTGGTCTAATCCACATATTAAATACTAATGCAACGTTAGATCAGATAACTCAGGATAGCAACCGGCTGCAAAGGACAAAACTTTGCCTAATTACACCAGCAAACTATGTTTCTGTTTATAGGTGCCATTACAGTAAGGCTGGTCAACAGAGGCGGAGCTAGCCTATAGTGTGCGGGTTCGGCTGAACCCGGTCACTTTGCTAAGACATTGTATTTATACTAGGAAATTCATTAAATATGTATAAATATTTAATTGCGAACCCAGTAACTAAGATGAACTATAGGTTCTGTGGCAAATACATAAACCTCAAATTATGGCTTCGCCTCTGCTGGTCAAAACCAAATCATCTTTACCACAAATTTAACCATTATCTTGACTCAGCTACTTTGTTCAGCAATTAGCAACCCATGAATTAATCATATTTATACAAGCTAATTTCAAGTTGTTCACTTAATCAACTTCACTTATCAACCCACACTAGTTGGGTCGACTAAAAATAGCATTTTTCAATCATACTCCCATTAGAAAGCATTTATCAGGCTCCAAACAGTTATACACAATTAAAAATAGCAGTTACCAACAATCAACCAAAAGTATAATTTGTTTCGGAAAACGATTAATAATATACCTAGTGGTACCATTATCAGGGTTGTGACTGATAACAATGGCATAATCACCAGAGCATCTAGCAAAAACACCACGATCTCCTACTTTATGCTCCACATTACACACAACAGCTCCTTCAGGAATAGATCTGAGCGGCAACACATTGCCGACCATAAGAGTAGCTTTCTTACCACAGTAAACGAACTGACCAGTGTACATCCCTTCAGCAGCAACGAACAACTCTTTTTGGTGCTTGTAACGGAACGGATGACGGAATGTCACGCGCGCGAGTGGTGCTCCTCTACCGGGATCGTGAATCACTTCTGTGATTACTCCCTTTAGGTAACCATTACGTTCGCCGAAATCGAGGGTACGGAATCGGGCCGGGCCTTTACGGTGGTGAGTGTGGGATTTGAAAACGGATCCTGCTCCCTTACGTTGTGCTCTGATTACACGACCCATTTCGCCGTCTCTCTATCTCTCTCTCGCCGGAGGAGTTGAGGAAATGATACGAAGGAGATGATATACTTAGGGTTTTTAGGGTAAAGGATTGCCCTAGATATTCTTTGGGCCAAGAATATTTAGTCTGAGCCCCATATAAGATCATGGATTCAAGCCCACCCCATTGTCTTTTAACAAAATAGGAAATTGACCGGTGGCAGAAACTAATTCAAAAAATATATATTTTATCTACTATATTTTTGGAAACAGCTAAAAATATATATATTTCTCTTAGTTTTCTCGCTTCTTTTCTAAGAAGAATTAACCTCACTCACCTAATCACTTATACTAAAGATTGCCAACATATATAAAATTTCATATAATTTAAGTACAATATTATATAATTATATATAATTTATGTATATTGATTAGAAAAAAATAAACAATGAATCCAGTTGGTTATTTGTGTAACAATCTCTATTTTCAATATTTCTCCTTTTTCATGGATTCAAGCCCACACCATTGTCTTTTCTCTCCTCTTATTTTTTTTAAAAAGGAAGAATTAATATAAGTAGTCGCTCATCTAAACGCTTAAATAAACTAGAAATGATGCTGGATGAATCTTTTTTTAATTTTTTTTTTATCCTATTGAGAAAATAACCTTGCACTAGTTTTTTAAAGTATGTTGGACAAGATTTTGCTCGATTGCCAGAATTTTAAATCATGCCGGGCAAAATATTAAAGCACACAATTATAGTAACCGTTAAGATTTTATTACAAAATTTTGATCATCACCAGAATTTCAGCTACAAGAATTCTAATATAGTAGCCAAGGGTTCAAAAATTACTTTACATCGTATGTTCAACTTCTACGTGTGTGACACTGTAATATCTTTTTTGAATCATCTTATATAATTTTTTTGATTCCAACATTAAACAAGAAAAAATAGTTGAACAATCACAACCTTTAGTGTAATATAATTGGAAGCCAATACTATGTAAAATTTGCAAGAAATATGGCCATGATGAACAAGCATGCAGAGCTAAGAAAGTGCAACAGCCTCCTCCTAAAGGGCAAGCACAAGATAAAAATACACAAGCTAATTCCAATGTAGTCTGTACAGGGAAGGTGCCAAGGAAAAAGACCATACCAATACCTCAAGGGACTAATCAAATAAAGGAGACACAGGATAAGGAGACACAGGAAAAGGAAGGATGGGTCACACCTCAACGTACTGCTAAGCATACAAACAGGCAACCACAAAATGCTAGTAAGGGGAGAGTCAAGGAATATCAAAATACTTTCCAAAATCTGGTGCAAGAGGATGTTAGGGGCATGAATGTGCATGAAATAAACAATAATGGTATGAATGTGAGAGGGAAGCCAAACTCTCCCATTGAGCATGGATAATCTCATGTGCTGGAATGTTTGGGGCATGAATGCTCCTAACAAACAAAAATAAAGAGGATATTAGTTTGATAGGATTATTGGAAACTAAAATAAAGGTAAACATGATGGATCAACTAGCCAGCAAACTTTTTGGTGGTTGGGGGTATATCACAAACTTAGCTGAACATTATAATGGGAGAGTTTGGGTGACTTGGAGACATGAGTGTTTTAAAGTTGATTTACTAACCATGTGTGCTGATCACGCCCAACTCTAGTCCTAAAAAGGATAAGCGATCACTGCAAATATAATCCGGTCTAAAAGTCCGGAGTCGAATCCCGCAGAGAACTAAGGCTTAGCTATATCTGTTTAATATCACTAATAAGACAAGTTTGAACAATTTTCTAAATTATAAAGATTGAAATTTATATTTCTAACTAATTAACTAGCAAATACTACAAAGCGATAAAATTAGCAACTAACTAGATAAAAGGTTGGAGATTAAATTAAGGAGGTCTAGAGTTATGATTTTCCCAATTGTCGGAATCCTTACAACTATGTTCCCTACAATTTCGTCGATGTATTCTCTACTGATGTGAGCACTTTAGGTGTCGTAATTCTCTCTCGAGCAACTACAACAATTTACTAGACATATTCTCTCGAACTACGCTAGTTGGCTTCATCTAACCGCTCACTATGACCACGTCAAGGCTTTGTATTTCTAAACCTACCTTTAAACCCAATGTATTGATTTCTCACATACGTCAGGAGTGACGTTGTTCAACAACTACCTAAATATGTACTCTCTCTCGAGCAGTACACACTAAATAGGCACAGTCAATTGATGGCCATTCAATCAACAGCAACAAACACGTAGTTGAACAAGTAGAGAAATCCAACGGCTCAATTATATAAAAACATAACAAGAATTCATCCTCCAAAAGGTTCCATCAAAACCCTAGATAACAAATTAGCTATTCATAATAGTATGCAACAATACAATACTAAAAGTCATAACCAATAATGGAAATAGGAAGAAGGAAGTGAAAAACTCGTAGAAGAATTCTCCGCCTTGCTCCCAGTGTGTTCTTGACTCCTTAGGTCGAATCCCCGGTCTCCTTAGCCTCCTTAGGTCTTAATTATGTCAAAAGTGTGTCCAACCTCCTCAAAATACCGTTTTTCCATGTATATATACCAAGTAGGGTCGGGCCCAAATAATTATACCTTCTCCTACGTGAAAAAGGACAATTTTTCAGGTCTGGACGCTCGCGGTCGCGGTCCGGGCGCGGTATTTTCCCAGTGCACTGCCTCAGTCCGCGTCCAGGTTCGCTATTGCGGTTTCGACCGCGTTTTTCACCCTGTTCCATTTGGAATTTGGGAAAACGTAAAACATGAAAGTTTTAGCCCTTTGAGTTAGCTTTTCAACCATATATTATATAGCCCAAATGGAGTTTAGATCAAAGAGTTATGTCTATTTTACTAGACAGTGCGCAATATGCCTACTCGAGTCTTCGTTTGTTCTTAACTATCAAATTTTACCCCTGAACACGATCCCGGCTTAATTCCTTGGGCTTTTACTCAGATTTCAAAGCTCCAAATCACTTGAATTCATTCCAAAACATCTATATAGCTCGGAATCACTCCTACAACGCATAAAACACACAATTAGTGCAAAACACTAGCGATTAAAGCGCAAACTCAACTAAAGTGCAGTAAATTAGAGTGTATAATCGACTAAAATACGTAATTATAACCTATCATCAATACCCCACACTTAAACCATTGCTCATCTTCGAGCAATCAAACTACACTTTATATAGACACGACCTTTTTAAACAATTCTCCTAACTCGTCACACCAAGAATACTTAAAAATAGACTAAGCACAAAAGCATAACATCTTCACCTCAAGATTTGACTCACAAGTACCACGCATGATTTACAACTCACCCACTTACTCTAACATAGAGGTCACTGACATTACCTCTCCTTCATGAATCAAGTGCCCTCACACAACAAAAGAGAGTAGTTCCACACAATAAAATTTAAGAACACTTAGGAACTCAAGATAGAAAGAATTCACTCACTCTCAGAAATAACATTCATATGCCACAAAAGATGCACCATAGGCTTGCCCGTAGTATACTACTCTACTAATCGAGCTCATTCAGTCTAGGATCAAGTAGGACTTTATTTGGTTGTAATGTAGACTGCGGGACGGGTAGGATACATTTAGATATAAGAGTGACTACACCTCCCTAAGCACTTTAATACATATATTTTAACATTCAAACCACATACTTATGTCAAACCAAACTCCACCTTCACCTCAATGTATATTACCCCATACTTCTTTAAGCACAATTACATCAAGAGTTACCACTTATCAAGGAATACTTTTTTTTCACAGCAATACAACTATTTTTTTTTTTCAATTTAAGTGGCTCTTACTTGTTCAAAACAGTGCTCCTTTCTCCTTATTTTATTAGTTCCACTCAAAAGCCAAATTAGCCATCCCACACTTTAACTTTTACACAGTTCATAAACAATTCAAGTGCTCATGAGAGGTTACAATGGTTCAAATAGATCGTTAATTCAAACAAATGGGTAAGGCTTGTAATGTGGTTGCCAAAGAAACAGGATTACAGGCTCAAAGGGGTTAACTACGATACATAACAATTAGGCGGGTAAAATATACATATCTGGCTCAACAAAGAAACGCCTATATCACTTCCAAGACTGAACAAAACTACTATTTCGCTTTGCAAACACACGGGACAAGTTCTAGGCATCAAATGCAATTCACAGAATAACACCCAAACCTCACACACACATGGCACATAACTCACTTAGGATTGGTTTCATCAAGACACTCTAGTCAAAGCAGTTAAGCAAAGTTAAGATCATACAATTTAAGATACTTATACAAGAGTCAAAATTGAGCCTAAGTGTCACAACCAAAGTACTTACTATTCTTAAGGCGTAACAAAGTTAAGAGATATCGCTGCAATTCAATTCATCTCACACTAGCTCCTACTCTTAAAAAAAGAAACTAACTACACCCGATTCAAACAAAACCCCTGGAAAAGAACCGCGGCACAAAGAAAAACCAAGGGGCAATTGCTACACTACCTAACAATAGAAAATCTTTTTATCTTTTTCTTTAGACTTAAAATCCCTCAAGAAAATTGTCTAATAGATCCATCGTCAGGAAAAGTCCAATCTTTTTTTTTCGTTTTTCTAAAAAAATATTCAATTAAACTAACACAACTAAAATAGCATAGAAAGTCACCTAGACAATCTCCTCACCCCACACTTAAATTGTGCATTGTCCCCAATGCACACCATAACTAATAAAAGGGTAAAAGAGACTCCCTGGTAGGCCAAAGGCCGAAGCACTAGCAGCTCATGGGGCACTCAGACTTCTCCCAAGCTTGGTCCTTCGTGCGGGTACCTCACACTTAGTTTCAACCATCTGGTTTGTTGTTGCATCCTTCCAATACCTTTGCTTTCCATGCTCCTGGAAAATAAAAAATTGACACTACAAAAATAATACAATTAAAAAAATAATAATAAAAAATAAAAGAAAGCAATAAAGCTGGATTGCCTCCCAACAAGTGCTTGATTTAACGTCGCAGCATGACGCGAATCACTTTTTGCCTCCACCTCGAGCTTATGAATTGAACCCCAGGTTTTGCTTCAAGCTTATGATTATGGTCTTGGGGC